TGTAGGATTTTGATAATAATTACGATGGTTCAAGTTCGATTGAAAAAAATGAATTGCAGAAGTATTTGGAGGATAAAAGAATACATAGAAAAGTAGACATAGATGTTCTTTCTTGGTGGCAAATGGAGCGTTTTCATTCTCCGATACTTTCTCAGTTAGCACAAGATGTGTTAACAATTCCCATTTCAACTATTGCATCAGAATCTGCATTTAGTATTGGGGGTAGAGTACTAGATCAGTATCGTAATTCATTGTTACTAGAAACAGTTCAAGCTTTATTGTGTACATGAGATTGGCTATTTGGAAAATGAGGTAATATATTTTTATATGGTATAGTACTATTGTTTTATTTCTTTTGATAATTATTTTGGTAAACTTCTTATAATTTGAATGATTTTTAATGTTTGGTTTTTCTATACTTAGTTTATGCGGAAGACAGTTCTAACATGGAAAAGCTTACTGAAAACATCATCAACATAACTCTTGAAGAAGGCAATAGATCAAGCCAAAGTTCCAATGCAATTTCCTCATGATGATCGATGTAAATTGAGGATTTTGTAAAAGGAATAACATGCAAGCTTTGAGTTCCATTGGTAAGGTTTAAACTTTTGAGAAAGGCTTCACAACCTTGAAAACAAAAACGCTTTCATTTTGCATATCCTTGCACATTTAATATTTGTAATAGATTAGTAGTGTATGGATTTTTTTTATTAGGCTCTTATTTTCGAGTGTAGATGTAGTACCTTAAACAACAAATGTGTTTTAATGTTTTGAAGTAATATTTATGTGACAATGTGTGGTATGTGCAAATTTAAGAAAAAAAATATTTTTCTTAACGGGTCGGGTTACTTTACCCGTTTGGTAAAGTGTTACATCCCGGCCCAGGCCCCGACTACGCCCTCATGGTTTTGTTTCTAGGAACTCACACGAGAATTTACCAGTGGATCACCCATCATGGGATTGCTCTCGCGCGCTACTTACTTAACTTCGAAGTTCCGATGGAACCTGAAGCCAGTGAGCTCCCAAAAAACCTCATGTTAGGTAGAGATGATAATATATATATATATATATATATATATATATATATATATATATATATAAGGCTTACAAGATCTATTCCCCTGGGCGATGTGGGATGTAACAATCCACCTCCCCTTAGGGGCTCAACGTCCTCGTCGGCACACTTCCGGTCAGGGATTGGCTATGATATCAAATTGTCACATCCCGGCCTGGGGTCCACCACATCCCGGGCTTGCTCCACCACCGTAGCACTATATTGTTCGATGTGGGCCCCAACTACACCCTCATAGTTTTGTTTCTGGGAACTCACATGAGAACTCCCCAGTGAGTCACCCATCATAGGATTGCTCTCACGCGCTACTCACTTAACTTCAGAGTTCCGATAGAACTCGAAGCCAGTGAGCTCCCAAAATGTCTCATGCTAGATAGAGATGGGAATATACATATAAGGCTTACAGGATCCACTCCTCTGGGCAATGTGGGATCTTACATAAAGTGACCCGACCTATTAAGGACCCGTTAAGATAACAGGTGTGACACGACCTGTTAGGATAACAGATGTTACACAAAAATGACTGACACGACTCATTTGCTAGGCCTAGGTACAAATACAAATAAAACTTTAAAAAATATGGGCACAAAAAGAAATTAATATATGTGTACAAATTAAAACTGAAAAGAAAATTGGTACAAATTAAAAAAGGGTTGCAAATTAAAAATGGGTACAAACTAAAACTAAAAATATATGATAAAAAATTTAGTCATAAATATAAATATACTAATTGTAACATTTTTAATATTAAATGAATATATTTAGAAATAAAAAATATTTTATTATTAAAATAATTAATGATGTTATTAACACCCAAAGACCTTGATCAAAAATTGAAAATTAGTAAGATTTTAATCAATGGAATAGCAAAAGGAATGATGAGAACCTAATTTCTCATTTTTTTTCTATATTCCAACAATGTTCTAGTTCTAAGGAAGAGAAGTAATTTATCCGAAATTGAGGGATGATTGAATTAGACTATAATGAGCTAGCCACTTACTAAATATTGAACTCAACACAAATGAGTCGAAACTAATAATTTTCACTTGCGAATGAAGAATAATGCAATATTAATGTGTACCTATTACCCACTCAGTTTTTTTTTTTTAAATATGCCACGAAAATTATATTGTTAGACCATATTTTGTAGACCAAATTAATGATGCAGCTATTGATAGTTAAATTCTTTCTTTAATAATTTAAATCTAGACATCAATTATCACATCATTTAGTTTTATAAAATATGTACTATCATCACTTTTAAAAAAATAATAATCATCATTTTATACTCTCTCTCTCCGGTGAAAATATCAACTGTATGGAAAGTGGAAACACAGCCATAGAAAAGCAATATTTAGTTGCTGGCTCTCACCGACCAATGTCCAAGATATTACGAGAGGCAACTATCAACCACATCCTGACAAGCATGGTGTATATTTAATTTTCCAAGCTTCTCCATACGAAGATAATGCATTTGTAGCTCATAGCTTCTCCATACGAACATAATGCATTCGTCGGTGAAAGATTTGATTATTCGATTTATCTTTGATTTTTGGTTCCATTAGCATGTTTCTCGTTTCTTTCAACTGGGTAGTTGTCATAACTTAGAAGCACACTATTCAACTCTTAACATGCCATGCATTTAATTATAAGATTGCTCCAAATATACTTCGCTCGGATATATGAGAATCAATCCATAATTATGCAAAGTATGGGCAGCTTTTGACGGCCAAATTACAAAGTAGCTGCTAACTGTGACTTCTTTATTTTCAATTTAAGAGATGCAGGCACAGTTTAGATACAGACTTTGTGGATTCTTTTAGAATTTTGAACAAAAATATTTTCTTTTATGTCACAAATACTAGTGTTCTAGGAGTGTGTGTGTAAACTTAAAATAGTATTCGATAGGATCTAAGAGCATCTCTTAATACTCTTATAGAGATGTCAAATATGAATTATCAAAATTTTATTTGAAGGTTGATGTGATAATTTGAAATTGATGTCAAAAAAATTTTCATTCCAATGGGCATGTTAAATTATTATTTTATCTAAACTACATATTACAGAATCCTATTTGTCAACCAAAAACTAATGAAATCACTATTATATCGTTTTATACATAACTGTAAGCAAATATCAGGAAAAAAATGGTCATTAAAATAATTTTGCATAAACAAGCTTTTATTATTTTTTTTCTTCCCTCACCCACATCTAGGGTTCATCTAAGGTAAAATAATCTAAACATTTCAATTTTCTTACCCACTACTTAAGTCTAAAATCATTTCCTAACTTGACCGTTAGAGAACCTTTGGCCGACACACTCCCCCGGTCCTAGGCACGATTGTTTTACTGTTTTGCAATTTACTTATACTCGACCACCGCTCACAGAGGTGTGCAAATTTAGTTCCAACACATACTTTGACAACGTAACTACGACAAATGCACGTGTAGATCGACCATCTCGACCATTTCAAACTTGAATATGGCTAGTTTCGGGTCGAATATTCATCCTATTGCTTGCATTCACCACAAGCTGACAAGCCTAGGCTGCATGGCATTAGTCTGTATTTAATTTTGCAATCTTTTTGAACGTAATAAATGACTAATGAAGACATATGCATGTGTAGCTACTCGACCATAAATACCATATAGTATTATATAATAATAACTCTTGGCATCTGTACTATTTAGCGCGTACGGTGAAGGCATGCATGTGTAGCTATTCGACCATACCATATATTATTATATAATTGTCGGCATCTATACTATTTAGCGGGTACAGTTAACTGCTTGACTGTGAGGGAGAAAAAATATTGCGAATTCGTCATTCTTAATATTCAAATCTTAAACCTCTTATTTATAAGTGGAAATGAATGGCTACTATACCGTAGTACTACATAGCTACCTCTTAACATAAAATGAAATACTTTTTTTAACTAGAAGTTAGTATATAATTATGAGTTTAACTTCTTTTTGGGAAGTTAATATAGGCTTGGTTTGGGATTTTAGTACTTTTATAAAAACCAGCTTATAAAAAAATCTGGAACATTAAATGTGTTTGGTAAACAAAAAAAGTATTTTTTTTAAACTATTGTCAATGACAGTAGAAATCGTAAAAAGGCAGAAGCAATTTTTTTTTTTCCAGTAATGCCAAACTAACCCATAATTACAACTTTAACTTAGGTGATTGGCAAGAGTAGGCTATTTTACTCTTATGTGCTATATATAGTTAGCATTTAATAAAATTTACTTTCTTCAAGTAGTTGGTTTGGAAAGTTATAGTGAATGAAATTATTAAGTTGTTTTGTGGATCGACTGACAATTTCCGAGCACCATGATGTTAGCATCATGTTGGAGGATAGGTTGCCATTGCTTTCCTTCAATTTCGCCATCGACTGTTTATAATACCACTATATAAAGACATGGTCATCGTGTTGGGTAATTAAATATAAATCAAACTTAGATGATCTTACAATTGCAATAAGAATATATGATATTAAAGGTTTAATTCTAGAATTGTATTTGATTTCTTTGTAATACCTAAAGGAATATTAATTTGACACTTAAGAGTGTTTCCAAATCAGTTGTCAAAATTATGTGTAGTATTTCACTGTGCATATTCACTAGTACAAAAAACACTTTGCGCGACGCAGATCCTTCGTCGCGCAAAGTCAAAAAATGTTGCGCAAAACATAGCCCAACAAACCTTCGTTGCACGCTAACCGTCCCGCCAAGGCAGTGACAGAAGGGTTTGTGTGACAAAGAAGAAACATGCGTCGCGCAAAGCCACTTTGCGCGACGCAGGCTGTGTCGCGCAAAGTGCATTAGGTCTCTTCACACGAACCCCTTTCTTGGTTTTGGTCAAACATATTATTTTTTTAATTTTTAATAATAATGTAATTAAATTCTAAACAATAATTAATTAACCAAAGAAAAATATTTAATTATAAAATATATGAAAATGTACATACAAGATGTCCGAACAAAAAAAGAAAAAACTACAAGTAGTCTTCTAAGTGAAGTGGCTACTGGGTATCGGCAGGGTGAAACAGCTCGAAGGTCGAAGGTGTGGCAAGATCAGGTACTGGTAGCGAGATTTGGAGGTCGGACATCTGTATGGCTCGTAGAAGGTCTCTCACGTGCCCGGCATAGGCTTTCATCTCCTCGCCCTGGGCCCTCATCTGCTTGCCCTGGACCGCAAGCTAATGTCTTAGGGTTGTCACTTCCTCCTTCAATGTATCGACCTCTGCTGTGTTTGATCTGGAAGAAGAGGTACCCGTCTCACAAACTCGCGCTTTCCCCATACACCGAACAACCTTGCCATGACGACGACCATTTCAAAACAAGAGGAACTACCTATCCATTTTAATAGCCAACAAAAAAAAGTGCATCAAGTGAAACAAAAAAGAATGGGTAATCCGACACTAGGAATCTGTGATAAATTGTAAAGATTATCTTAATCAATATTTATAACAACTAAAACATGTTTCAGGATGCCCAATAAACACTCTAGTAAGCAAACATTGTAATCAAGCAAAGGTACCAAAACTTCATTAGACTAATTGATATGATCAAAGTACCATAGAAAAACAGTTTACTTCGTACAAGCCAATCAACCAGACACATGACCATAGAGACTACCTAGTAAACAGGTAGAAAGGTAAGAGAAGCAACTCCAAACATATAAACTCCAAATATTGGTAAAAACCAAACTAGTTTCGGTCTAACTTAAACCTATAACTGGACCAACTGCAAAATTAGAGCTATTTCCTGCACATAATAAATGAAAAGAACTGAAAATTTTCTTTCCAGATTCTTAAAACAATAGTTAGCAACTGTACATTCAAAAGCATATTATATAGTTCTCCAATGTTAAACAACTGATATTATATATCTTCTAATTAACATTTAGCTTTATCCATCACACCACCCACAGTCAAAGCACGTTTTAGTAAAAGAGAGATGTAGACTTGGTTTTTGGGATCAACAGATATATGTAGACTACATGAGAAACAAAGATCAACCCACAACAAGCATTTACTTCATATGGAAAGCAATAAAATTAAAAATGAAGATTAGATATTGCTGAAGCTTACAGAAGCAGCCCGTTCCGATTTAAGTCGCTTTTCAACAAAGTTAGCAAGTTTCTTTGCATAAATTTCTCTGGTATCACTATTGAAACAATTAGGAATATCATTTGGTAACTACTGACTACCATCAAAAAACAAAATTTACGTGGAATTTAAAATGCATTATGATGAAAGTAGAAAAAAAAATCAAGGGAACAGGTCTTATAATGAGGCAAAACCAAATTGTATAATAGACTGAAATGAAACTGTGGCGGGAGCAACACCACTGTATGTTAGCAAATAGAAACATGAATAACAGCATACTTAAGTGTAAAAAAACGAGAAAAGAATTGAGGATCAGAAAAGTTTGAGCGGTTACTATACTTTGCATATTTTAACATGAATAAACGAGTATTATTAATCAAGATAATCAACAGCAAAGGCAAACCTCAAAGGATTGTCTCCTCCAATTCTGCCTCTAACATTATCCTCACTCTCTCCATGCCTAGTAAGTAATATTGGGTGGGGCATGAGGTGTATTCACCTACAACAGTGTACCAGAAATATATGAATACATGACCAAAGTATGAAGAGACAAAACGACCAAAAAAGAGCCAAAGGAGCACAAAAGAGGCAGCGGGGGTGGGGAGGGCGTTTGGGGCTTGAGGATAATCAACTTATCTCAGTTTTTTATGTCGAGATTCCACTGTAAGATTTTCGTATGGTAATTACAAGTGCAATTTAAAAGAGGAACCTTTTACTAAGATGGTTAACTGTAATTTCATCAAGTGCAGATATAGATATATTCACCAAACAAGACATGTAATTAAAACTAGACGAAAATGGCTAACAATGAAGACAAAAGCATGAATTGAGGATCAGACAAGTTTATAAGGAGGTTTCTTCAATCCATAGTAAGCATAAACTAACCCCAACTTTTGGCCTGAACGGCTACAATGATACCAGTCTCTTATCCTGTAATGACAACTATTAACATACATAGAGAGAAATTCTTAAACCCTGAAATTCAACCCATTTCCTAATAATTTATCCCAAATAAAAACCATAATTCAATCCCCATTTCAAAATTAAAACCCTAATTCCCATTCACAATTTTTTAAACCCTGAAATCCATCGCATGTCCTAGTAATTTATCCCAAATTAAAACCCTAAATTCTAAAATTCATCTCAATTCACAATCAAAATCCTTAATTTCACAATTCCATAATTTGTAATTAGACTTACTTTCAAGGAGAGAGACGAGCACAATGAAGGGGGTGGTGGCTGCCCGTCGTTTAGAAGGAGAGGGAGAGAGACAACCGACAGTGGGGTTCGAGATTGGGGCGATTTGGGGTTCGAGCGTGATGAGCGTGATGAGCGAAGAGGAGGAAGCCTACGGGAGAGAGAGGGCGTGATGAGCCAAGAGGAGGAAGGCTATGGAAGAGAGAGACCGAGTAAGAGAGAGAGAAGAGGTCTACGAAGAGGAGGAGGGCGTGATGAGAGAAGGGGTCTAGGAAGATTTTGTCCAAAATTATCAAAACTAGCGCTTATTTTTTACACTTGCGCCAAAATTATCAAATCTGGCACGGCGTATGTATACAATTCAACGTCGCGCAAAGTGTTTTTGTGCAATGACCACATAAAGGCATCGCGCAAGGTATTTTTTATTTAAAAAAAATTATTATAAAAATTATTGAAAATGTAACTTTATTCATTTCGAATTCAGTTTTTTTTACATAAAACCCACAATAATATATTTTTCTAACAAAAATCTAACTAATAAATTGGTAGCTACTTAATAAATATATATATCATTCAATTTCTTAAGTATTATACATAAAATATAAATAAATTTAAATCTACTTAATAAATATATATACCATTGAACTTGATGCGATACACATTGTACGAAACTAATTTCAACGATCCAACCATCAAACTTGTTTGTATATGCTTTGAGATCGCATACGCAAAAAATGGCAAAAAAAAGAAGTTTAGAGATCAAGTAACGAGACAAAACTTTTCGACGGTTATAAACGAAAAAAATCACGATTTAACGGTTATTTTAACGCCAATTTTGATGATTTTTTACAGTTACACTCCTGAATCCTATATGAATACAAGGAACTGATTCAATCATCAATTTAAAATATTTACACAAGTGGATACTACAAAACCTTATGTTATACTTGATGAAAGTATAAATAAAATATAAGTGTTAGGGAGTCTATCGTTTGAATGGGATACACATTGTACGAAACTAGTTTCAATGATCCAACCGTCAAACTTGTTTGTATATACTTCGAGATCGCATACGCCAAAAATCGCAAAAAAAAAACCTTCAAAGAACAAGTATTGAGAAAAAAATTGTCGACGGTTATAAACGAAAAAATTCATGATTTAACGGTTATTTTAACTCCGATTTTGATGAATTTTTTACAGCTACACTCCTGGATCTTATATGAATACAAGGAATTGATTCGATCATCAATTTAAAATATTTACATAAGTGAATACCACAAAACCTTATGTTATACTTGATGAAAATATAAATAAAATCTAAGTGTTAGGGAATCTATCACTTTAATGAGATACGCATTGTACGAAACTAGTTTCAACAATCTAATCGTCAAACTTGTTTGTATATGCGTCAAGATCGTATACGTCAAAAATGGCAAAAAACAAACCTTCAGAGATCAAGTAACGGGACAAAACTTTTCGATGGTTATAAACACAAAAATCACGATTTAATGGTTATTTTAACTCCGATTTTGATGATTTTTTACAGCTACACTCCTGGATCCTATATGAATACAAGGAACTAATCCGATCGTCAATTTAAAATTTTACACAAGTGGATACCACAAAATCTTATGTTATACTTGTTGAAAGTATAAATAAAATTTAAGTGTTAGGGAATCTATTGTTTTAATGGGATATGCATTCTACGAAACTAGTTTCAACGATCCAACCATCAAACTTGTTTGTATATGCTTCAAGATCGCATATGCCAAAAATGGAAAAAATAAACCTTCAGAGAATAAGTAACGGGACAAAACTTTTCGACGGTTATAAACGAAAAAATCACGATTTAACGGTTATTTTAACTCTGATTTTAATGATTTTTTACAGCTACACTCCTGGATCCTATATGAATACAAGGAACTTATTCATCGTCAATTTAAAATATTTACACAACTGGATACCACAAAATTTTATGTTATACTTGATGAAAGTATAAATAAAATCTAAGTGTTAAGGAATCTATCGTTTTAATGGGATATGTCGGAAATATGCCTTGAAAGTCAATCTTTGGAAGAAACCTTTCAGGACAATAAATGGATGTATGGATGACTCTTATACATCAAATGGCAAAGATACCATTTAGGACTATCTCTATAAACGATATATGTCCTAAATAGTGAATCCATGGACAATGGATCGATTGAAGAAGTAATCTAATGAAGTTAGACTACAGAGACCTTCTTCACATAACCATCATGTCCAAAAGGTTCCTGGTCATAGAATTGTCGGAGGGATACTGACAATGCATAGACCGGTACATACTATGTCCGCTTCAATTAGAAGGATGGAAAGTCTCATCCCATTCGTGTAGTGACACTAAGACAAGTATGTAGGTGCTCATTAAGGGAATGACTTCACTGAACACAATCGAACGAGAGTACTTGCATGGAGGTCTACTCACATGTCAAGCAAGTAACTCTAATGGTTGGAATAATGTAAGTAGTCCTTTGACCTGAGGCATCATCGTTGTCTTGTGGTTAAGTACTTGATCTTTGATTATGTCAAAGTCACTCCATTCGCGGGTGTCCACGGCATAGTCGGGGTTAAGCCACTTAGTCATGAAGGCAAGTGAATGCGCAACAAGGAATCTCTATCCCTCGTTAAGAGAGGATGAATACTCTAAGATATGATTCTGGAATCTTCAGCCGAAGTATCGAGCGTAATAAAGGAAAGCGTTCATATACGACTCAATTGAATCATATAAGAAGGAATAATCACATTAGGGGTTTGACATAATATATCCATACCCTAGTGGTGTGATTGAGAGTATTGTTTTAGAGAAGGATCGAATTACATTGTAATTCCAACTGAATAGGTTCTCCGAACAACTTCTACATTAGCTTGGGTAGCCATGATATATGGTTAGATGTCACTCATGGCTTGTGAGTTCTTCTAGATGATTAAATGTAGTCGTCAAAGAAGAAGGTGAATGAAAAGTAGCTTTTAATTCACTAAGTGATTGGATTAAATATAATCAATTAGATTAGTGCCAATCACCTCACTGCCTTGCTAATTAGAACCTAAAATGATTGTTCACCAATACACTCTTGTAGTGAGTAATTAATGGATGATGGAAATAATTAATTGGATTAATTAAGTGTTGTGATTAATTAGAAAGTCAAAAGAAATCGTAAAAGCGATATAAGATCGTTTTTGGGCTTAAAGAAACGTTCGGGTTTAATTGGGCCCATTGGGCCTAAACCAATCAGGCTTTTATTCAAGCATTGGATGACTTGAAATAAATAAAAGCCCAAAGCCCAAACAACACAAAGGGGCCGGCCAAAGGAGGGAGAGAAATGTCAAATGTTGACTTGTTTCTTTTTGGCTATAAAAGGAACTTTATAGCAAATGTTTCATTAGGGTTTTTTGAAGTGTTAAAAGAACAAAAGAGAAAAAGAAAAATATCTCTCTAACACTCAAAGGGCCGGCCACCATAGGGGGATTTAGCTAATCATCTTTTCACCCATTTGGTTATTCCTTCATCCTTCTCACTACACTAGTAGGTGAGGATCTTTAGAGGTTTTCAATTTTGGAAACTTGAAGAGAACCTAGGAGAACTCATTCTAAACAAAGTGGAGGAGGCAAGGAAGGAGGCTAGGCTCAAGGAGTTCAAGGAGCAAAGGGCTTGGAGGTGGTCCATCCTTGGTCTAAAATCTAGATCAAGAGGTATGAAACTACTCCTAAACTTTGTTCTTATATAAATTTGTTTATGATGCATCTTACATAAACCTATGCATCTTGAAGGGGATTTGCATGACTATAGCTTTGATAATATATGTTGATATGCTTCCGTTGCTTTCGTATATAAATTTTGAATTGTTTATGCATGCTAGTCACTAGAAATCCCACATGAAAACTCATAATTTCCCTTCAGGATACGCATCCAACTGTCAAACTTGTTTGTATATGCTTCGAGATCGCACATGCCAAAAATGGCAAAAAACAAGCCTTCAGAGATTAAGTAACGGGACAAAACTTTTTGATGGTTATAAACGAAAAAATCACGATTTAATGGTTATTTTAACTCCGATTTTGATGATTTTTTTACATCTACACTCTTGGATCCCATATGAATACAAGGAACTAATTCGATCGTCAATTTAAAACATTTATACAAGTGGATACCACCAAGGAAAAAGGCAATACAAGAACCTCAAAAGAAAAGCAAAAAATAAAAATAAAAAACAAAAAAACTTTGCGCAACGTAGGTACACATGCGTTGTGCAAAACATCTTTGCGCGACGGATGTGTACCTAAGTCGCGCAAAGTTTTTTTTATTTTGTTTTTATTTTTTATTTTTATTTTTGCCCTCCCACTCCCTCTTCCTCTCCCCTGTGTTGTTGTTGGTTGTGCTGTACGAAGTCGTCTCCTCCCGTTAAAGTTAAACTGTCTCCCTCGTCTCCATTCACATCACTATACCGATACCTCGTTCATATATATATATATATATATGATTGTTTTTACCATTTTTATTTTCTGGGTTTGTGAGAAAATCAAACAAAAAGCCTTAAAAGTATGGTGCTTTTTGTGTTTGGGGTCAGGTCTACAAGGTCTCCATTGGAGCTGCATGTGGACTTTCATGGCCGTCCTATCGTCTCGTGATCCAAGTCCTTGATGATTCAATCGACCCTACAATCAAGGTAAGAATCTCATCCTTTCATCCTTTTCCTTTTAGTCCATTAGCAGAGCTCCAAGGATCTCAATGTGTGGGATTTCAGACCCAATTTCTGACATGGGGTTGTTCCAATGCGCAATGTTCGAGTTTTCAACAAAATTGGCAAATAAATTAATAAAAATTCATGTGAAATTGTTGCTGCAAATGGTGGAGCTGGAATGCCAGAGGTGGGCAAGCAAGGTCATAAATTAATAAAAATTCATCTGAATTTAGGGTCGATCATCATTTTTTTTTGGCGAATTTAGGGTTGATCAACGTGTTAAAAATAAGCTTTGACAAAGACACAACATTAAGTTGCTTGAATGCAAAACTCAAAAGTCCAAATTTCAGCAAATAATTATAGAAAAACATAAATACACAAAAATAAAAAAAATCCAAGCATAAATGTAATCAATAAATAGTTAATTAATTAATCAAATAAATACAATACCTGAAGGTGAAGATGGTGAGGGTTGAGAGAGATGGAGAGTCTGAAAGAGAGTGAAAGACAGAGGTTGAGTGTGAAGAAAAAGGCCCCTATGTGTGGTTATTTTAGAGAAAAAAGTCGTCGACTTTGCGCGACGTAGGTGCACCTACGTTGCGCAAAGTTGGGAAAAAAGCGGTAAAGCATTCTCGGTTTGGCGCCAAAATCTTGCGCAACGCTAAACACAAAACGTTGTGCAAACTGTCTTTGCGCGACGTTTTGTGTTCAGCGTCGCGCAAACATGTTTTTGTACTAGTGATTTGATATCAAAAGTCTATCCAACTGAACTGTTATTTGTTGATTGGATTTTGAAGGCTTTTTTATTAGGAGTCAAATTTGACATCAATGTCAAATTTACTTTTTATTCATTTTAATGGTGGATCCCTTATTCCACTAATATTTTAACCAATAAAAGTTTTGTTTCAATATTTTTTAATAATTACAATTATTTAAAACTCTATTTAAATAAATAAAAATAACATTTGACAATTCGGTTGGAGAAATAAAAAATTTAACATAAGACTTTATATTGCCACATCAACTATCAATTTATAATTTAACTCTTATAATTTGACATTTCCTCTGGAGATGGTTTAAGTGATTATAATATCCCTAACTTATAGGCAGGATCTGTCCAAAGTTTCGTGAGGCCCATGGCGAAATTCCTCTTTAATGACATATTAGTTAGACAATTTTATTTCTAAAAAAAAACTAATTAATTTCATTCATAATTTGTTTTTTCAACCTACTCCTTCTCCATATGGTCCAGTGGTATTGCTTTTCATTTGTAAGTGAGAGATTTTAGGTTCGATTCTCGCCAAAGGTAAATTTGAACCACATTATTGTTAACCATTTTGAGGTTTAGCCCATCTCCTCCACTTAGTGTAAATACTATCGTTTGTGAAAATAAAACAAATTAAATAAACGAATCAAAAAGTAAAAAATAAAATAAAAATAAAAAACCCTACTCCTTCACACTCAAAGCAATTGGAGGAAGCCAAACCTTGATAAACACGCTTGCACTCACTACGAACTAAGAAAATCTAATTAGATTAAAGGGGGGAAAACTCCAATAACTCATCGTGTTTGGTTTAATTAATTAGTAATGCTAAGTTTGTAGATTAAATTTTGTAAACTAAATGACATGAAAGTTGATGATTGAATTATTACTTAAACGTTGATAAATGTACTAATTTCTTATTGGTGACACATTATTTAGTTTGCAAAATAAGTCTACAAATTTAGTCTCCACAACATTACTCTTAATTAATTGTAAGTCAAACATAAATGATCTTACACTAATAACTACAATTAATATATTTGATAAAAGAAAACTACAACTAGTCTATTATATTAATAAGCATAAACACCAATAACTCCATGTAGCAAATCACCAATACAACTAGAACAAAACAAAACAAAACAAAAAAAAAAAAAAAAAACACCAACAGCAAAAAAACAATTTAAACAAAATTTATTTATTTATTTACTTTTAAAAAGGACTAGTTGGTGGTATCGTCGCGACAATTTACTATTTCGGGGATTGAAAAAATTATAGAGACATTTTTGTTGCCTCCTGAGCATAATCGTGTGATTCACCAGCGCCAGGAATCTAACGCAGAACGTTTCATGTAGAATACATGACTGAAATTCGTCCAAAATCACTGAATCACCTTGTGGTGGTTAAATTAAACAAAATTTGAATGAGTAGAAATCAAATACCTTTAACTAATATTGAACATAGTTGCAAGTAGGGTACACAGTAGACTTGAACTTTTCAATTGGATGTAAATTCATACAAACAACCCCACTTAGCAGAATAAGATTTGGTTGTTGTTGCTATTGACTTGACCGTTGGAGAACCTTTGACCGACACAGTCCCCCGGTCCTAGACACGATTGTTGTACTGTTTTGTAACTTACTTATACTCGACCACCGCTCACAGATGTGCGCAAATTTAATTCCAACACATACTTTGTCAACGTAACTACGACAAATGCACATGTAGCTCGACCATCTCGACCATTCATCCTATATTTATATATACTAAAGCTCAGCTAAAAATCACTGTTTATCCTGTGAGTAGGAGCACTGTTCACCAACAGTGAAAGGGCGGAATTACCTTTGGTTTCTGCTTTGGTCCCCGTACTGTTCACACTTTGCTACAGTAAGAAGTCCGTTTTGTCCTTGCTGGATGCCCATCTCTCATTCCTCCATCTCTGGTATATTTTTTTTTTTTTGGTTTTCCCCTGCCTTTTCAGTACATGCTTTCCATGCGTCGATCACCGTAGTGTTCTATCTTCTTTTTAGTTCTATCCTCTTATACACGTGTTGCTCACTGTTTCCCTCTTAGGCTACCCACACGTCGATCATCGTCAAAGGCTCTGCTTCCAATTCTTCTCGACATTTCTTTACGTTTCCACTTCTCTCTCTCTCTCACTTCGCTGTCTTCTCTCCTCTCATCTCTCACTCTTCCTCTGACTCTCCTGCTCTACTGAAAGAACCATAATTTTTCATCTTCCCCTCTTCTTGAGATTTTCTTGGTGGGTTTTCGTTCTCAGGTCCCGTATGTAAAAGGGTTTTGGTGATGAAGATCGGTGACAATGATCGGAGGTCGTCGCTGTGTGCGTGATCCCAATGGCACTGGTCTTCAATTCTGGTAATTTCTATGGTTTTGTGTTGCGTAATATTTGGGGATTTGGTTTGGGTCTGTGGGTAAGCAAAGCAATACTCAGGTTAAATTTGGTTCCCTTTATTTTCTCAAATTTGTTTCACTGCATGATTTTTTGATCCTTTACTAAATAGTTCTTAAGAAATGTTAGAATCTTTATATGTTTTGATTTCTTTTGAATTTATTTATTTTATATTTTATTTTCAAGCCTTGAATTTGTTTTTAATTTCTCCGTTAATAAACTAAGTTTGAGGATGAAATTTATTCTTTCTTAACATTATTTGACTGCAAATTCTAGGTTCTAACCCCAAGTACCGCATCAGCATGAATCCAATTCTAAATTAAGGGAGATGATGCAAAACCCAGAAATTCTTCATCAGTTGGCTTCTCCTGAGACTATACAAGTATATTTATTCTGGGTGCCTAAGGTTTTGAGTTTTGAAGTTTGTGTTTGACTAATTGACCATTGAGATAGCCGTCCTATATGACACCGCCAAGGCTCTCAATTCTGAGTCTTTCTTATTTACAATTTGGTTTGTGGTCTTTTGACATCTTTGTTGCTCTACCCATCACCAAGCACAGCTTGACAATCCCCAGCATTAGCAACTATGAAGGTCCTGCAAAAATTACAATGTATGTAAGACTAAGAAATGAAACCTAATTAAGATTCACAACTTCTAAATGCAAAGTATTTAGAAAGAAATTCCATACAAACTCAATGCTCATCAGTCAATTTCTATCTTTCTTTCATAATTTAACTTTTGCTTCTTATTGCCTTTGTTTTTTTCTTTCTATCTTGCAGATACTCTTGACTTTGCAGCAATCACTTTTGTCGTAACTGGTCGGCAACAGTAACAGTCAAACCAGTAAGAAGTGAGATAGATTTTTCTTTGATATGTTTGATATATATAGCCTGAATTGATATTTCTCCCTTAGCTCCTTGCGGAATCCATATTGATTATATGGATTACCTATGCAACTTGATTGAAGTTTGATGTAATTTCATATTGTTAAATCCCTTTAAATGGATGAGAAAATATTGTTGAACTCCTCAAACTTTATTTGAGCTCTACTTTCAATTTAATTTCATATCAGTGAGAGAATGTAATTTTGTTTGAAAGGTTGGAAAAAGCTAATAACTCTTGGTAAAATGTCTTTATGCAGATCACAGACAAGCAAACATTATCAGAACTGTGTGTGTAAGTTGCAAAGATACATGTGCAAAATAATAGGTGACCTCTTTATTCTATATTTCTAAAGTTTATTTTATTTTATTTTATTTCCAAAACACAAGATGAACAATTTATGTTTCTCTTTCTTTAACAAATTTTTTTCCTTCGGTTTTGCTGACTTAATAATTTGATTGACACCTGCTTTTTAGAATTAGAATAGAATAAGGTTAAATTATTTGCAATTGTGGGGTAATTGGCAAAACTCGAGACCCTTTTATGCCTGTTTGAAGGAACAAACAGAGTTTGTAAACCCCTGCCTTGCTCATACAAACACAGTTTGTATATTTTTACAGTATATATTTACATGTAAATATATATTTTTACTGTACTTATAGTATGTTGTATGACTCACATTAAGATCACATATACTTGAAAAAGTTCATGTCGTGTTTTGTAGTCCTGACTTTTGTTTCTTCAGTGCATTTTAAATGGGTAAGGAGTAGGCCAAATAGTATGAAATTTAAAGTTGGTTTCCCCTTCATGTGTTCTCTTTCAAATTTTTGTTTCTGAAACTGAATTGCTTCAAAACTTTTATTGGCAACGTTCATTTGACCTTTTTTGGGTTAGCCACTCACTTTTTTGTTTCTCATTTTGAACTTCTATTGGCAAAGTTCACTAGAATGTCCAAAAAGAAAAATCAGGCATTGCACTGTTCGGGATGATAATTTATATCCAATATGATCATTAGTCAGCTAGAGAACCTGATTTGGGAAGTGGGTTTTAAAGTTTTAATAGTTTTGTTGTGTGTAATTTTCTTGCTTTGCCTACCAAGAATCTGATAACCGAAGGCTTAGCTGTTTTCCCCAAATGATTTTCAATTTGTTGTAGGTAAACAAGAGCTACTAAACTGTTATGCAGCAGGGGAATGGAAAGAAAGTAAAAATTCAAGCTTTTAATCAAAGAAAGAAATGGAGTGACACTAAACAAAAGATAGGTAAAACTGACTGGTACTTTCTTTCCATTTAAATATAAATCAATTGATTAAGTTTGTGTTTAAAATGAAGTTTCAATTGTTTCCGAATTCTAACAATGATCTCCTATGCATTAAGATAATCTATTTAGAGTTTTGATCCACTTTTGATAATGCATAATTTCCATTCTTTTCCATATAGAGTTTCCATTTTTCTTACGAGCAAGGAACAAATTGCCGATAATATCGGCGATATATCGTCGATATTATCGGTTTTTAAGGGTACCGATATTTTTTTTAACTATCAAAATGGTTTTCGTGATAATATCGCGATATTACAGCTCCGGCGGACTGTAAAACAAGACCCTAGACTCCGATCTAGGTATGAAAATGAAATAGAAGACGAGATGAACGTTTTTATATATTCCGTTTGCCGTGAAACGGTCGGAGGTGTTCGGAAACTTCGTCGACACCCACGGCCTCATCGGAGATGGGTGTGCCTATTCCCGAGCTGATTTCGTCCCAAAAACCTTGAAAAAACACGATTTTGAACTTAAATTTCACATATAAGGAGAGGGAGAGGGAGAAAGACGAGGTTGCTGATGATGATGATGGGTGTGCGTGTGTGTATGTGGGTTTCAAACCCTCGGTGCAGAGACGAGAATGAGAGGGAGAAAGACGAGGTTGCTGATGATGATGATGGGTGTGCGTGTGTGTATGTGGGTCTCGGACCCTCGGTGCAGAGAGAAAGGAGAGAGAGCACCGACGAGGGAGAAGCAGAAGGCGATGTGGGTCTCTGTGCGTGCGTGTGTGTGTGGGAGAAGGATCGAGAGACCTTTTGTCTCTATGCATGTGTGTGGGAGATTTGTGTGTGTGAGAGAATGGAAAAGGGGGAGAAGGGAGCTCAGAGAAGACTCAGAAGAGAGAAGGTTCGAGAGAGAGACTGTTTGCGTGTGAGGTGAGTGTGCGTGTGTTGTGTGCATGTGTGGTGGCATGTCTGTGTGTGTGTGTGGTTGGGTCATCTCATCTGACACACCTAATTGATTTTACAATAACTTTTTGCAATTTCAGACCATGGACAACAAATAATAGTGCTTTCATAATGAAACCGTGTGCCACTGTGAGTCCGTGATATTCTTTCACATGCAAAACAGTGTGCCATTGTCTGTTATATTCTTTCACCTTATCAGAGGTGGAGTATCAGAGGCATTCATAGCATTTTCGTTTCTTCTTCTTCCCTTACCATTTTCAAAGCCATTCTAGATCCATTCCAAAGCTTGAACACAAAATGTTCCATATTTAAGGTAAGTTTACAAACTTATATTTATATTACTGTAATTTATACAACAACAAATAAATTTGTGTGGACTCGTATGTTAATTTTTTTAAGTAATTTAATACTTGCATGTTAATTTTTGTAAGTAATTAAGTAATGTTAACAATTACATGTTAATTTTTTTAAGTAATTAAGTAATGTTGTATAATTATTCCCTAGGATAATTTTAATATGTTTAATGTTATTTATTATTTTATTAATATTAGGTTTTATTATCAAATTGGATTATTATTCATTAATATTAGGTTTTTTTTATTATCAAATTGGATTATTATTCATTAAATTGGATTATATTAAAATTGGATTAATTCATTATTGGATTATTCATTAAATTGGATTATTATCAAATTGGATTATTCATTAAATTGGATTATTATTAAATTGGATTATTATTAAATTGGATTATTATCAAATTGGATTATTATTCATCACTATGTTTTATATTAGGATTATTTTTTTATCAAATTGGATTATTATTCATTAATATTAGGTTTTATTATCAAATTGGATTATTATTCATTAATATTAGGTTTTTTTTATTATCAAATTGGATTATGGTTCATTAAATTGGATTATTATCAAATTGGATTATTCATTAAATTGGATTATTATCAAATTGGATTATTATTCATCACCATGTTTTATATTAGGATTTTTTTTTATCAAATTGGATTATTATTCATTAATATTAGGTTTTATTATCAAATTGGATTATTATTCATTAATATTAGTTTTTTTTATTATCAAATTGGATTATTATTCATTAAATTGGATTATTATCAAATTGGATTATTCATTAAATTGGATTATTATCAAATTGGATTATTATTCATCACCATGTTTTATATTAGGATTATTTTTTTTATCAAATTGGATTATTATTCAGTAATATTAGGTTTTATTATTCTATATTATTTGTATAATTACTTAAATTTTTACAATCATTTTCTTTACTTCGTATTTAATTCTTCTGTAGAATAACTTTATTATTTAGGTTCTCTTATATAACCGTCATCACTACTATATTTTTTGGCCAAAAAATAATTGTCTAATTTTCATGAAAAATAAATATAGGTACATTTAAGATGTCCAGTGGAGTTACTAAACGTGATCCAGCTTGGGAACTTGGAGACCCAATAGACGGAAACAAACATGGCACAATTTGCAAATATTGTGGTCGGGTAATGAAGAGTGGCGGAGTGACACGACTTAAGAACCATCTTAGTGGATTAGATCCAGCAAAAAATGTCCAACGATGCGATAATGTCCCCCCAGAAGTAAAGGCATTCATCAGCACATTATTAAAAAATAAAAAACAGCAGAAGGAAAAGATAACACATGGAATGGAAAATATTCAAGCTGGGCTACGAGGAGAAGTCATTGGCCAAGTGGTTGACAGTGATGATGATGACGATGAGGACGAATGTGATGATGACATGGGACCTGAAGAACGACGCAGTTTGAAACAAGCATTACGTGCCTCCAAACAGTCAGCATGGGAAAGAGAACACCTTCATAAAATTCCTAATAGAGCACAAGGTTCTGGGACAAGTGGTGGTGCACAAATGAGACGGGGAGGCAGTCTTAGAGAATCACAACCAACACCACCAATAGCCCCAAGTTTATATAAGTCATCCAAAGCACGTCAAAAAAGTGTTTGGAGTTATTTCACTGAACGTAATGTGAAGGAGGGAATGGGGCGTCTAATTAGCAAGTTCTTTATCTATGAAAATGTTCCTGCTGAGAAAGAATCATCACATCATTTCAAAAATATGGTAGTGGGATGTCAACAGGCCGGTGTTGGAGTACAACCTCCCACTCCCTATGAGATAAGAAACAAATTTTTGAATATGGAGTATAAAGACATTGGCGAGTATGTTAACAAGTTGAGGTCAAAGTGGGAAACTAATGGTTGCACAATCATGTGTGATAGATGGACTGGCCTGACCAGATTGTCTATCATAAACTTCATGGTATACTCCAAGGGAAAGACAATTTTTTTGAAGTCTGTTGATGCTTCAGACCATATAAAGAACTACAAGTATATTTACAAATTATTGAAGGATGTAATCATGGAGGTGGGAGAGCATAATGTTGTCCAAGTCATGACCGACAACGGTTCTGCATTTGTCAAAGTTGGAAAAAAGTTAATGAAGCATCATAATGTGTTTTGGACATCATGTGCAGCACATTGTATTGATCTCATGTTTGAGGTAATGGGGAAGAGAGAATGTTGCTACTGTGGTAAAAAGAGCTAGAACGATCACAAATTATATTTACAATCACGGTTGGTTGTTGGCAAAGATGCGTGAATTTTGCAAAGGAGAAATTATTCGTCCAGCTACCACTCGATTCGCCACCAACTATATTGCATTAGACAGCCTACTTAAGAAGAAAGCAGGGTTGAAGCAACTATTCACCAGTGACGATTGGGCTAACCACAATTTGAGCCGCTCAAATGCAGGTCGTATGGTGGAAAGTATAGTGCTTGATTATGCTTTTTGGACTCAATCAGAACATGTGTGCCAAATGTTTGAACCTCTTTACAAAGTTTTACGGATCGTTGACACAGAAGTGTATCCTACTATGGGGGCAGTATATGAGTTGATGCATGTAGTGAAGGATGAATTGGAAAGAAAACATGGTGCAAGGTGGGTCATAAAGATAATTGAAGAC